TGGAGAATGAATGCTCTCACTTTGGCTCACACGGCAATACCCAACATGTAGTGCAATCGTCTTTTTTTGTATGTAGGTGCACGCGGCTTATGTTTCCGTTTGCATGTACGCATGGGTGGGGGACTTTAAATTTTTTGGGGGGAGGTATTGGTGTTTCACCCACCCACTGCCTGCTGTCAATCAGCAGAGGAGGGACCTAAAGGAGAATGTTCTCCTTCGGGTCCACCCCTCTGCCATAAAAATTGTGCTGCTTTGATTTTAAGATAATGGCAATTGTTTTTCTTTTTTTTTTTTTTTTTTTTAAGATAGTGAAATCACACAGCCCCCCAGTACAGCAAAAAAACATGAAACCGAGCTTGTTGGTTAGTGCCACATTTGTGCTGGTTTTTGCCATTTAAATCTCCATTCCATCTCCTTTCATTCTCGAGTTAGTAACTATTTCTGATTGTTCACCAAAGGTCACCCAGCACCCCTACAACAGCCAAAAGATATGGAACTGGGCTGGTTGGTTAGTTTCACGTTTGTGCCATAAAAATTTTACATTTGTGCTGCTTTCATTTTTAAGATAATAGCAATTAGTTTAAAACCAAAGTTGACGTTTACATTGAATTGCTTGACATTTCATTGCCAGATTCATGTCTTTTTGCTGTTGTAGGGGGGCTGGGTGATGTCGTCATCTTATTAAAAAAAACAAAAAGAACCAATTGCTATTATCTTAAAAATAAAAGCAGCACAAATGTAGCATTAAAAAACACACTGGGGTTTTTATTTGTAGGGGGGCCAGTTTAGCTGAGCTGGGGGATTAATATATTTTCATTTTTGCTGCCTATTTGCCACAGGTGATGAGGTTGCTACAGTCACAATCCTTTGTTCTGTTTTCACTAAAAGCTGATGACTATTTTGAGAGGTTATTTATTGACATTTTTTACTTTTGCCTTTGCCCAAGTCCACAAAACATTGTCTTTTTTATGGGGAACTGCCCCATTGCTGCTTAGTAGGAAGGCATCCATGGTAAAATGGTGCTCTTTTGTATTTAACATTGGTACATTTCCTGCCTGTTTTAGGAATGGAACATTTTATGAAAGTACACTTATGCTTTAATGCCGTATAGCTTTTACATCTGTGATGTGTATTTGTGATGAATATGTATCACAAATACACAGATTATATACATCTATAGATATATATCTATAGATATTTATATCTATAGATATATATATCTATATACATATTGATAAGATAACATATTAAAAGATTTCTTTGCAGAAATAATGTAGTTTTGTGGTCCAACCTAATGTTCAAAAAAAAAAACCTAAGCACTGGCAGGAAGTATGGAATACAATTATGATTTTGAATTATTTTGTTATATGTTTGTGGTTTTATGTTAGCTTTTTCTAGTTGTTAGAAAATAATGTAGTAATGATGGGGACACACAGGCCCTCATTTACAGAGGCCACTCGCACAGAACACTTTTAAGGGACAAAAGAATAGCATGTCTCTTATGTGTAAAGTGATTTTTTTTTTGGTTGAATTGCTTTTGACCAACAACTTGTGTTTCACTCACACAAGTAATTTATTTTTAGACCAAGAGTTAGTTTTTTGTAGCTTGAAGGAATTGTGAGTTTTAGCTTTCTGATCTTTTACAAAGTCAGGGAAATATAACCTCACACAGTGAAAGCACTTTCTGGGCACTCTTTCTGTATTTTATTCTTAAGTACATAATCACAGTATGTAGTGAAAGTGTTGCAGAAGTACATTTTCTTTCCCTGTTTGTAGTCCAATATTAGACCATACCACAGTGATCTATTACAGGCTATATTTTTGTCAAACACAATGATCATATTTAAGCTGTTTGTCCAGTTAGTGTTGTCTTTACAGTGTGTTTCACTTCATTGCTGTCTTTCAAACAATACAGGTCAAGTGAAAGGGAGCTTTTGGTGACTACAAGTTTATGTCTTTGAGACCCACACAGTTTTAAATCTGATTAGTAAATGTGAGACACTTTGATGCATCAACGTTTTTTGGGTAAGTCAGCCAAGAGTCTACAGTGGGTGTTTTTGGGAATAGTGTTTTTGCTTTTAAAAGATGGGCAAAAGAATTCACAGATAATCATATTCCCAACAAAGCATAGACTGGGTCACTGCTAATACAAATCTTAAACTAGTGACAGTGTTTCATTAAAATGCCTACATTTGGTTTGTCCATCCACTGCCAACTAAACACCAGGGCTCAGAGGCGTAACTAGTGACCTCAGGGCCCCGATGCAAGAATCCATGAAGGACCCCCCCTCCCCCAAGAAGAGAAAAATTAGATACTTTTTTTTAAATTTAAAACAAACAAATTTTAGACAAAAAAAACAAAACACACTCTCCTCTTTCATGTCTCCAGCTCCCCATTAACTCCCCCTTCACGTCCCCAGCTTTCTGCTCCCGGACCCCACACTCTCCTCCCCCATGTCACCTTCATCGTCCTGGCTCCCTATATCTCCCCCTTCGTGTCCGCAGCAGCTCTCTATTCGGCAGCGTTCTGTGTGATGAGGGGGCGGGGATAACCTGTTTCCCACTCATTGGCTGCTGCGCCGGCTGGATCATACTTCACGATGCGCCGGAACAAGGTGAGGGGAGCAGAGTGAAGCACGTAGGGCCCGGGACAGGAGGAAGAGTTCCCGGTACTGACATTAGCGGTTACCGGGATATTAAATATCCTGGTAATCAGCGCTTACCAGGGGCCCCTTCCTTCCTGTCCTAGGCCCCCTCCAAGTGGCGGAACTCCCGGGCTCGGTCGCAGCTGTGACCTCTGCAAACCTGGTAGTTCCGCCACTGCAAGGGCTCTGATCGTGTGATGCCAATAGAAGGCTCTCCCTGAACACTGATCCTCTTCTCCTTTTGATAGGATTGTGTTAATCATAAATAGGAGCAAGTGCAGTGATTTATTCAGGATAGATTAGCTTATATATTTCTCATTTCTGATTATAGTGGGTCAGAGTGAATTAAACTATAGGTCTGGTTAATGTTTTGGTTCAAGAAAATACAAACTATGCTGGAATATTCCATAGTCTTGTTTATTACTCTAAAGTTTGAAATGGTGTATAGTTCTTGACAAAATATGTTGGGTAATGAAAAATGTATCTGTAAGTCTTGTACTGACTCATTAGAATGCGTTCTCTTGATGAGAAAAGTATCTTCATTATATATATTGTTTTTTTTGTCTTTTTAGGAGGCTTTTCTACTGTGTTCTTGGTTCGCACTCATGGGGGGCTTCGTTGTGCTCTAAAGAGAATGTACGTGAAC